GGGGTGTCCCAGCACCCGGAGCTCGGGGAGCCCTCCCTGTGGACAACCTTGGGGACATCTGCATCCAGTGATGGGGAGCAGGGGTTGTCCCAGCCCACCCCTGCCCCCCCACCGCTCTGGGAGGAGGAAGAGGAGGAGATGGAGAAGGAGGAAGCTTTACTTCCACCATCGACCACGGCGATGCCCAGCTGGGAGGTCGGGAACTGGAGTGAGGTACGTGTCGAGTCCTGTTAAACGCCTGACGTGGCTGGTTTGGAGGCAAGAGACCCATCCCTCTCCCGGGATGCTCTCTGGGGTGTGCAAAGCATGTGCGTGGCTCACACAGGCATTTTTTTGCATTTTGGCCAAATACTGAAAGCTCCCAGCCCGATGGAGGGGAGCAGGCACACTCCTCACCCAAATCCCTGCCCAGGAAAGCACAGACTGCCCCCCGTACTTTGGCTGGAGACCCCCGGGCACAGGAGCAAGCTCCTGCCATTGTACAGAAGAGATTATTTTAAAATAGGCTCTGAAAAGACAGAAATTTAGATGGCAAGTGTAAGGCACATTGAAGCAAAGGGAAGGGGCTGTGCTAAGTGCGGTGAGGGGGTGGTTATCAGCAATTATCAGCTTTCCTTGGGCTTCCACGCTGTCCCTGGGGCCACTTTCCGTGTTTGCAGTGACAGTCAAATGGCTGCTGCCATTCATGGGAATGTGTTTTTATCAGAAAGCACAAAAATAATCAGTCTTTGGTGTCAGGGAGCACAGGAGAATGAGCGTTGGGGGAGTCTTTTAAGAGGCTGCACAAAGGACTGGGTAACACTCAGGGCAATACTTAATGTCCACAGAAATGCAGTCCCACACATGGGTTTTATAGAAGGGCTTTGAATGTGGCTTGAGCCACGTTGGTGGCAGCGCTGCTGTGGCAAGAGGCACACGGGGTGGTTTGGAAGCTCCGCAAAGGCTTTTCAGGTGGAGAGGCTGCTACAAACTCCATCAGGTCAGTCTGGACAGCGAGGGGTGGGTCCAGAAGAGGAGGTGGAGGCGCTGCCGTTCAGGTGGAGAGAAAGCTTCACCGGAGCTTCTCATGCTGGGCAGGCAGGGCTCGTGAAAGAAGGGCACGGACAGAGCCCAGTGAGACAGCAGCCAAATAGTTGAAGCCATCATTGCCAATTAAGAGAAAAAAAGCTAAAGGCACCCCCAGCCCCAGAGATCCCGGTGCTGCTCTGTTTCCCACCAAGCTGCGGGTGGCCGTTGCTGCTGTCACAGTGTGACAGTCCTGGAAGGCAAAAGCTGAGCAGGGAAGGAAAGGACAGTCCCAGCCAGACCAGAAATGACTGAAATGGGATATGGAGGAGGGTTTTCCCCCTTCTTCTGCTAAACCAAGGGCTGCTTGCTGGGGAGCAGCACCCCTCCCAATGCCCATAGAGAAGGCGATGAGTTGAGTCCTCCTGAGTTTTCCCGGGCCACCAGGCTCCATCCTTGGCCAGAAGTAGCCACGGGGCATCAGGGGCATCCTGAGGGGCATCGGGAGAGAGAGGAGCAGGCTGTGCCTCGTGTGTTGCAGTGCTCGGTCACCTGCGGCGTGGGCGCGATCTGGAGGACCGTGCGCTGCAGCACCAACCGCGACAACGACTGCGCCGCAGCCAACAGACCAGTCCCTGCTCGGAGGTGTTCCCTGAGACCCTGTTCGTCATGGCGTGTGGGGAACTGGAGTAAGGTAAACGGGTGTGCAGAGTCCCCAGACCTCCACAGCAAGACCATCGTTGCCAGGGGCTGGAGCCGTGCCTGCCCTCACCCCAGGGCTTACAAAGGCAGAGAAGCTGCTTCATCCCACAATCATCTTTTCCTGCTCTTGGGCTGGGATTTGCAAAAGCTAAGCAAAGAGTGGTTTGCAAGTCTCTGGAAAATGTTCTGGCCCCTCAGCGCTACCGGCGAGGTTTGCGGTTGAGTTTGGGGAATGCAGTAGGTTCAGTGGTGGGAAACAACCCTCCTTGCTCTGGGTGGGCGCCGTTTCTTGGCATCATCAGTTGTCTGAGGCACAGAGACTTTCTTGCCATTGCAACTGGAAACAGGTTGCTTTCAGAGGAACAGTTTTGGCAGATTCAGAGCTGCACGGGCTTTTTTCTGGCTTGCACTAGAGAAAGAGGTGAAAAGAGGTTGGATTAACTAATTAACTCCATCCAACCCAAGGCAAAGCATGTGTCTGGGGGCCCCTCCAGTTGCTGGAGGCGTTCCCCTCGCACCAGCCCTTCCCTGGCGTGATGCTCGCGTTGTTTCCCAGTGCTCCAGGAGCTGCGGCGGAGGGATGAAGGTTCGGGATGTGCATTGTGTTGACACCAGAGACCAGAGGCTCCTGCGGCCCTTCCACTGCCACACTGTCCTCTACAAACCGCCCGCCCAGCTGCCCTGCCGGGACACGCCGTGCCTCGACTGGTACACGTCCTCCTGGAGAGAGGTAGGGGCTGCTGCAGTTGGGGTGGCGCTTGACCCCCAAGCGTCGCCGTGGAGCTTCGTGCCTGCTATGGGGTGTTTTGCACTCACAGTTATTTTTCCTTCTCGCTGGAAGCTTGTTGGGCTGGTGCTCAGCATTTGTTTGCCCAGAGCGGATGCTTAGTAGCTGGAAAGGCACGTGGCTGGGGGGAGACTGCGGTGCCCCTCCAAATCTCTGCCAGCCAAGACTCCAAAATGGAACCAGATCTTTGCAGCGGGTCTGCTGCTCCCTCGTGTTTCTGGGAACCTCCCAGCCAGTTCCAAGCACTGAGAAGGAAACCATCCACTGACAGCAGGGTAGCTGCAGAGCAGGCAGAGAAGCAGGTTTGGGGTATTTGCAGGGTGGGTTTGCAATGTATTTCCTTTGGACACTGACGCCCGGAGCTGCTTCCCCATGGCTTGTCTCTCCGGCGGGGTCGGGGCCGGGCGGGGGGGGG